TATGAGGTTTTTTGGTACTACACAATCAGATAAATTTAAAAAGTAGATTAAGAGATCATGTTTTTTTTTTTGTATATGATCCAGAATAGTGAAACCTTCAAACCTAAAGCTCCAGAATCTCAGCTTTCTTTCAGAAAATAAAAATAAAATAGTAATGCATTTTGCCTCTAATAAAACATCACTTTCCCCGTTTTAATTCCATTCTTGTTTCTTTCTCTGATATACAGTATTGCATGATATGGAAAGAAGATATAGAACCCAAGTTATTTGAAATAGGAATGTAATCTTTTTACAGGAAGCCTTGATTTATAAAGCCAACTCCCTGAGGTACAGACAGGTTTATCATTCTGCTATAAATGTCTGAATGCATAATGGAATGCAGACACTAATTTCTATAATGTGTTTGGATGATGCATTGCTTATTGAGAACTGTAGATGAAGCCAAAGGAGAAATCTCAAACAAATTCTTCTGAAATTTTGGTCTTCTGATGCATTATTAAGGATTTCAGATAATGGGCAAAAATGCCTCACAATCTTGTGAAGTCATAAGAAAGATCATAAGTTAATAATTGACTGCAATTTAATCTGCAATAATAAAGCTGCTTTTGCTTTTAGGCAGTTACAAGTACCAATACAAATGCAGAGCCCCAACAGTTTAGATTGGAGTCAGTTTTTCAGGGGAAATAAGAATTATTTATGACTGTGATATTGTTATGTTTGACTAACAATGTACATAGACACTAGCCAGGTCTAACACAAGGATAACAAAGATTTGGTTTGATACTTAATTGGATGCACACTTTGGAGGCTCTGTTTTCTCACTGAAATGATTTGTACAAATAAATCTTGATTATGACTGGATTTACACCCAGTATTAGAAACCCATCCAGATAGCTTCTTTCTTCTATTTTCTTTCCTTTCTTTTTTTTAAGTGCAGAATTGTTTGAGCTTTTTCAAACAAAAGAAAGTAAGTGGTTTTAATTAAAGAACAGCTGGAATATAAAATGTGTAAATCTTATTAAAGAGCCTGAGAAAGATTATTGCAATGCATAGACATTATTTCTTTGTTGTCAGCTTTTGTGATGTCATCAGAAGAGGGGTAATATTTGATTTTTTCCTGAAAACTTAAGAAGTTCCAGTAATATTTGATGTTTTTCTTGAAAACTTAAGAAGTTTCATGTATCATGTAGTACTTTAGTAACTTCAGCTTTCCTTAAAAACAAAACAAAACAAAACAAAGCAAAACAAAACAAAACAAAAAGCAACCAAAAAAGGAAATTAAGGTTCTCATGTTTGATGAGGAAAATTTGGAAATTTGATGTCACATGTACCTTAAAAGATGGCAAACTCAGAAGGCAGTGGAGAGAACCCAACATTCATTATTTTTTCATTTTTAAGTTCATTATTTTAAGATTATCTCATGGTTTCTGGGACCAGATTAATGAGTTTGGAATGTCTGGGTTTGGCCATACTGCCTCTGTTGTACAATTCTAACTGATCTCAGCATCTGTGAGTAGGTCACTGTCTTCAAGTTTTAAAACAAGCAATTAACAACAACAACAAATATTTTAAAATCATTTGGCTTTTCTATAGGAAAATCAGATGCCCCAGGCAAATCTCACTGTGATGGGGAAGATCTTGTCTTCCTCCAGGCAATAGCATCTTGAATGCAGATGTTGAGTAGGGTGCAGAGGGCTGCAGCCATGGTGCAGGAGCTGAAGAAGTGTGGACAGAACAGCACAGTTCTGAGAAACAGCCCTTCTCTTTGACCATGGCCAAATGCTCCCGATGCAGAGCCAGGTCTGCACACGGGTCATGCTTGATGCTCCTAGCTAACAGAGATAAAAAGAATGCACTTACTCCATGATGACTCCAATTATTTCGTAGCTCACACCCTTGTTGTCTCTTGGAAGCAACTTGTTAACTAGGAAGGACCAAGGAAAGGACGGGTGTAGACAGGAGAGCTGATACTCCAAAATGTCTCTTTCTTTGCTTCTCTCCATTCCCCATTCTCCTGTTTTACTTTTCACCCCTGGCAGGCTGCTAAGAATGACTGACAACATAGCTGACAGCTCTACCCTGAGAGCTAAACTGATTTAGATCTGAAATAAAACTAATGTCCTCTTGGTTTAGAGGTCTGCATGTGGAAACAGTCTGAGGAAACCAACCAATATTGCAAACTAGCCTTTCTATTAATTTTAGGGTCATCACTCCTAACATCTCTTTGTTTTTATTACTATCTGGTTTATTGTAAAGAATTTACTGGGCTTTTAGAGCTTTAGAGCAGTATATTTTAATGCTTATGTGCTGTCACTTGAGATAATATTGCTTGTCCACCTGACTTTTACCTGTCATCAGTGGAAGAGCTGTCTATAGAAAAACAGACAAGTATGTTGTAACCCGAAAAAAGCAGAGCTCCTACTTCCATTAATGTGCAGAGACCTAGGTAACTTCCTTGTTTGTGTTGCTAAAAATCTTTGTTTTGCTTGTGACTGAGGGAAAGGGGGAATAAAAAAAAAAAAAAAAAAAGAAAAAAGAAAGGAAAAGAGAAAAAGTCAAAAAAAGAAAAAAGAAAAAGAAAAGGAGTAAGAAAAAAGGAGAAAATAAAAAAAACAAAGACAGTGATCTTGCTTGAGCTATAAAAGTGATTCTAAAACCTTTCAAGGTTAACACATGAAATTGTGACATATCCACACTTAAACCAAGTGATTCTGTCACTGGAAGGTTCTGTGAAAGTCGTTCCTATCTACTGCCAAAAGGACATGTAAACTGTTATGGAAATGGTCCATAAATTGAAAATAAAAAAGCCACCTAACTAGTCTGGGAGAGCAGTATGAACAGATCAGTCTAAAAAACACTGATGTTATCACCATTCTGTCTTGTGTCTTATGCTCATATGGAATACATGGGTCCTAAGCTCTCCTTACAGCACAGACCCAGAAAGCACTGGGGCTTCAACCCATAAATCCAAAAGATTGCCCTCAAGATTGGCAAATATGGCTCCCAGAAATAAATCTCTCATATAGAAGTTTGTTTCAAGAAATATTATTTACTTTAAAATATGTCCATTTGTATTGTATTAGATCTTCCCTCAAAATTCCCTCAGCTTCTAGGTCAATTACTATGAATGTGGTGAGGCTCTGGCACAAGTGGCCCAGGGAAACTGTGGTTCCTCCATCCCTGGCAGTGTTTAAGGCAACACTGTTAAGTGCTTGGAGCAACCTGGTCTAGTGGAAGGTGTCCCTGCCTGCAGCAGGGGGTTTGAACTGGATGAACTTTAAGGTCTTTTTAAACCCAAACCACTCTGTGATTTTATGATTCTGTGATTTTCGTGTTGAATTATGTATCTCTTTCTTAACAGAGATATGCTTTACTGAAAGCGCAGTTCCAGAGTTAATAACATTGATGTTAGCAAGTGATTGCGTTCAAAGAAAAAGAAATGCTTTTCTGCAGCAAAGAATTAAGCACAATTTTTTTTTTTTTAAATATTAAGGTTCATTTGGGTTTGTGCTAAGTGACTGTGACGTAAAAATGTCTGCACATGATTCCTGTGACCCCCAAAATTGGAACAGTCCATTCAATGAGCTCCAGTTCTGCTTGTGTGAAAACAATTTTGTTGTGTTTTGCCCCCAAAAGACCTTTTGCTACCTGAGCTATAAGTCTGCACAAGGGTAGGAGAATGCAGACCAAGGTGAGGATCTTCTCCATCTCTCTCATTCCACCACACTACACTTCCCTTTGTGTGTTTGTCCCTGCAAGTGGAGCAAGGGAAGGAACACCTTGTAAGCTCATCCCTGATTTGCACACTTTCAAATGGTCATCAGTGATGTAGTATGAAGAGATGGGTACTGTCTGGACCTTTAGCAGTGAGGCAGCATCCCTGAACACAAAAGCAACTATCCCTCATTTGCATGTGGTCTGGTTTGAAACTCTTTGCGGATGACCCCAGGAACAGTGCTCACACATACTCTGCTGAGCAAACCCCTAAACATAAAGGAGCAAAAACAAGTCCATGTAGTCTGTTTATATAGCCCTAGAGATTTAGATAAAGAAAAACAAACATAACCTTTTCAGCTGTTCCTCACAAGGGAAAAAGAAAATGAAACATTTGATTATAATTGTTTTAATGAGCTTTGATTCAAAATGAAGTCATAATGGTCTGGTTAAAAAATATTCTGTTAATGAGCTTATATTTCTATCAAAGTGTGCAAGATGCAAAATTCTCTGAGGATAAAATTAAACAGCAAGCAATATTTATTTGCTGATGAACAAAATCCTACTTCTTCCTTGAAAAAAAATAGTATTAGTAACGGTAGAAGTAGTATTAACAGCAACAATAATAATGGCAGTAGGACTGGTAGGAGCACAGTAATAATAATTATTTAACCAGATGGTCTTTGTTAGGTTTTACCTTGAAATTAGAGAAATGATATCAAGAGTACCTGGTTCTGCAGGATTAAAGTATGATCTCAGGCATGAAAAAACTCAGACTTGACTGTAGGCCACCTCTAAATACTGTAAAGGACTCCTCCAAATTTATTCTTTTATTGTGAAGATGCATAGGATATTTCGGTGATCAAAAATTGCAAAAAAGAGAAATGAGACATGCAGTATGCTAATTAGGGAGAGTAGTGTGAACTCCCAGTGAATAGAAATACCACTGGTTATTGCACTGTTACAGTGTTTGTGTATACCTTGCATTTTATAGTAGCACATGGACTGCAATGCAGTCCATGTCACATTCTCTATCCTGTAACTCAACTGGCCTCCAGCCTTAGAGCCCTGGAGACAATCTGGGATTTGCCTACTTAAAGACCATTCACTCTTGAAAAAGATCCTACATATAATGTTTTCCCTCTTATGTGCTGCAGCAGGTAATAGGGTAACACGTGACAATTCAGGCATATATTTCATTTTGACTCAAGAATATTTTTATTCTGATTCCAATCTGATTTCTTTCAAATCTGAATACAGATCTCTCCTTTAGAATTTTCATGTTACAGTATTTCTAAGCATTGCCTTGTGCAGCATGTTACCTCTTCAGTACAACCACTCATTCACATGTCACTTGATTTGCCTAATCAGGCTCTGGTTAAACAATGTAACTTGTCTCATGTAAAAAGAGACAGCTACAATCTGTTGTGTTTGTAGTTTCTGTTTCAAAAGGAAAACAAAATACTAGCATTAGCAGGATGGATTTCAAGACCAACTCTTAATCACATTAAAAAATAAAATTTAATTAGTGAGATGCAGGAAGGAAGCAAAATTATACACACAGCTCTATGAACACAGTAATGTTACAGAGGTATTAATTATAAACACACAAGGATGGTTGGATTACATAGATAGAAGAAATGTAGAAAAACCTATGTGATAGGGAAAAAAAGGCATGAAAGTATTAAATTGATTTAGCTTCATTAGATCCTGAATTTGCATGATTATAAAAGCTTGTCATATTATAAACTGGGGTGTGGTTTTCATGTTTTGTTGTTGTTTTGTTTGGTTCTTTAATGATACATACATACATTTACAATGAGTTACGACAGCAAGAAAGGACAAGCTGGACCTTAGGGCTGAGATATGACTAACTTTGTTCGAGGCTTCTTAGCTCACAAGAAAACACATTTGCAGCAAAGCTTTCTGACAGCCTGCTGTGCTAGACTCATCCTTAATTACTGTCTTTTGCAGTGTCCAAACCTGTTTGTTTCTTGGCACAAAGGAACTTTGGGGTTCTTTTTATGTTGGTTTTGTTTTCCATTTTGTGTGTGCATCTGTATCACCTTCACTTCCTCCTAACAGATTGTCAAGGACTATTTCTGGCCGCAGCTTCAACCATCCTTTAAAATAAAGAGCAGACTGCTCCTGGAGTGATAATTCTACTTAGGAATGGATAGATTCTCACAAGCTTAAATCCTGAAAGGTACACGAAATGGTCTGTTCTAAACAACACGTTGCCATGGTTACATCCTTCTGTGGCTCAGATGGGGATGGGGGCCAATTATCAAGTTTTGTTTGCTTGATTTTAAGTAGTTTGTTACCTGGATACTCAATAAATAAGAAAACTGAAAAAAGACTTGTTTTCTTCTCCCTTAACTGAAGGAAAGGGAAAACAGTCATACCTGAATGTTAAAAAATCCAACAACATCCATATTCTTAGTTACACAGTGAAAGCACTTCTGAATTGTTTGCCTGAGAGAGGGCTGGGAAGAGGCCTGTGAATAGTTTTTTTGCACTAGCATTGTAATTTGAGCTGTGGACAAAGCAATTCATCACATAATGTCACTGTAAATCATGAGTGGGTAGAGAGATTGGGTTAAATGGTGCCAGGGTTTTTATCATTATCTGGAAAATAAAGGCTTTTTTCTCAAAGATCACTTGGATATCTAATTAGTGAAAGGAAATATCTTTTCTGCTGGGTTGCAGCACAGTGATTCTTACTTGGTGTCATTCATATTCCTGTTTTTCAAGAGCATGTTGTGTATGGTAGCCTGTTCCTGGGCTTAATCAGAAGCTTTGGTAACAAACTGAAGATGGAAGAGTGAAGTTGGGTGGAAGAAGCAAGGGAGAAGAGCGCAAAATTAAAATACCATCCTGAGAGTTTATGCTGGCAATGACAGAACACTATTTTAATTTTTGTCTAGTCTCCTTTCTACTCATTTATTCCATCTCCTGCTTGTTATTGAAACTTCAGATTAAAGATATGAATGTATTGCCATAATAAATTTATAAGAGGATATTTAAAAGAGCAAAGATTTGAATGACACAAATGAACCTCACTGTAGCAGAGCTAAAGAAAGGATTTGCAGAGAGATGGCACAGCAGTCAGAAATGACTGCTAGAATCTCCTTAATTAAAAAAAAAAAAGTAAAATACTGGAATGCAATAGGCACAGAAGGTATTTCATATAAATTTAGGCTTAGCTTTAAATTATTGATGCCATTTAAAATTATCTTTAAAAAGGTTAAGAACAACTAAAGAAGATTATTGAAATGCAAGACAGCTACTCAGAACATGGAGAAACTAATGTTAAAAACGGGACAGATATTTCTAATAAACACCTAAAACTTGGGTTGGTTTTGCTTCATCTCTGTTGCACCAATTATTTCTCCAAATAGAATGAAAAATGACATTTAGACTGTGTAGTCTTCAGATTTGCTATTGTTTTTTTCTAATGAATAGGACACATCTGTCTTAAAAAAACAAGGACCCGCCACTTTAAGGCAAAATCTTTTGGCTCTTGCTTTCTCAAATGAAAGATGGTCCTGTTTATAAATAACTAATTTGCAATTTGTTTAAATTACAAAGGAGAATCAAAGAACATGGCTTTTCTTTGCAAATTAAACAAAATTGATAGTCACCAAGAAGGTTACAAACACAAAGCAGAACACTGCAGACACCAGAATTAGTGAAAAAGTGATGAAAATCATGTGGGTATCCTTCAATTGTTGCTTTAGACCTCTAATCCTGGTTAGCAATTTATTAAAAAAAAAAAAGAATTAAATAAATTAGTATCAGTCCTAATCCTGCAATCTTCCTTTTAAGTAGGTAGAACATGTCAGAGACAAAAAAATATACTGAAATGTTAATACAGATAATTGTGATATGTGACAGTATTTGGAAGCAAGCTATTCCACATGAGCTCTGTTAAGGAGTGTAGGGAGGGTGCAAGTGAAGGAATGGGGGAAAGATATTTAAAATGGCATCTCCTAAGGATCTGGAGATGGGTAAACTGAAATGGATCCTGAAGGGAAGCCATAGATACTCCGGGAACGAAAACAGCCCCGTCAAATTTAAGGGTCTCTCAGGGAAATCTGGTAGATGTAGCTCTGGGAGGTGTAGCTCTGTGATACATAAATTTTTCCAAGGGGCTAAATCTTTCCCACTTTTAATTTCAACTGCTTTTCCAGGATGAGGACCTTTGCCCAGCCCTGAGCTGTCAGGAATATTTCCACCAAGCTCCAGCTTTGGCATGCAACAGCCTGGGCTTTGTGGAGCAGAGAGGTCTCTCCTCACCTCTGCAGGTCCAAGTAGCACCCCATCCTGACAAGCCCACTTGAGGAAAGAGATGCTACCTCCCCCTTTTGGCGGAGACCCTGGAGGAGGGACCCAGAAACATCCACAAAAGTACTGAGAAAGCAATGGGGAGAGGAAGGGAGCAGTGGAAGTGTGAAGAGCAGACACACGGGAAGGATGGAGAAGCTCCCAGGTGGCATGTGGGGTCTGAATGGGTGGGGGAACAATGAGCCATAACCAGCTCTGTCTGTTTGAACTGGTAGTGTGAGCCTGTTGGTCTTGTAACAGCTCTGGAAAGACAGGGAAGCTGAGTTTTATAGATTCTGAGGAAGTCATTAGAGAGCAAAACAGGGAAGGAACAGTAAATGGGCATGCATTTTGGTGAGAAGCTTAAATCTTCCATGGGATGGCAGAATACAATACCAGATTATATCCATGGATGCTCACACTGCCTGGAGACATACCAGTATCTATGTATATGCACACATACACTAGTAACTAGAGGGGATGACATCAGCCCATTTATGTATTGAAAAGGTTTTTGTTGTGACTTTTTCTCAGTAAAACATTGCATTGGTTCTTTCAGCTCTAGCTGCATGTGGTCTGCCTTTTGAAGAGAAGATATAAGAAACTTATATGCTCAGACACTACAGCTGCAGGAATGACAGAAGCAGAAGTCTTTCAGTTGCATAACCATTTTTCATGCTGCATATTCAACTGCCCTTAGCAATCACAAAGTACGAATTTACATATGAATACTACCTTGCAGCTATGGTGATACTAGTGTTTTTCATGCCCTATCACTGCAAATAAACTTAGAGGCTCTATTAAGATTTATGTAGTTAATATTATGTCTTCTTGCAAGAGATAAGTATCTTTACCTTCTTTGCTTTCACTGATATCAGCTGCAAAACTCATTTGTGGGGCCAGAATTTTGCTCAGCAAGCTCAGACTTATTTGTAAGACTTGAGTTATACAGGAGACAATGAAATCACAGAGCAAAGAATAAGGAGAGAGGAAAACATGAAATAAAGAAGTGAACCAGAGGTGCTAGACAATTCATATCCATATCCACCTGCGTGAGGTGTGAGCAGGTAGAAGATCTGCTTAGCCTGATGGCAAGACTTAAGGAGGAGGTTGAGACTCTGAGGACTATCAGGGAGTGTGAAAGGGAGATCGACTGGTGGAGTAACTCCCTGGCGTGCCAGTCGGAACGGTTCCAGGGAGATACCCCCCAAAAGGGGAAGGACTCCCTGCCTTCTCACACAGAGGGGGATGGCCCGAGACACCCTCTGCCCTGTAGCTGTTGCGCAGAGGTAGGGGACCAAAAAGACAACGAGGGTTGGAAGCGAGTTCCAGTTCGGCGTCGTGGGAAACCCTCCTCCCTTCCTGCCCTGCTTCCCCAGGTGTCCCTCCGTAATAGGTTCAAGGCCCTGGATCTTGAAGGAGAGGTAGGTGAGAATGTGGGGCAAGGCCCGCCTACAAGGCCACATAGGAAAAGGGGGTCGACTTTGCACCTCTAAGAAAGAAAGAAGGGTCATTGTAGTAGGGGATTCCCTTCTGAGAGGAACAGAGGGCCCGATATGCAGAGTTGACCCTCATCATAGGGAAGTGTGTAGTCTGCCTGGAGCCCGGATCAGGGATATCACTAGGGCGCTCCCCAACCTGGTGCACCCGACAGACTGCTACCCGCTGCTGGTCTTCCAGACAGGTGGGGAGGAAGCCGCTTCCCGCAGTCTGAGGGGGATGAAGAAAGACTGCAGGGCCTTGGGGCGGATGGTGAAAGAGTCTGGGGCTCAAGTGATCTTCTCCTCACTACTTCCATCTTCCACTGATGATGTGGGAAGGAATGGGAAGATTCAGTCCATAAACGATTGGCTTCGAGACTGGTGCTACAGGCAGGGCTTTGGGTTCTTTGATAACAGCTGGTTTTATACGGCACCAGTCTGGACAATGACAAGTGAGAAAGGTTTGTCTCACAGAGGCAAAAGGATGCTGGGGCACGAATTAGCAGGGCTCATTTGGAGAGCTTTAAACTAGATTCGAAGGGGGATGGGGTTGTAGCTGGGCTTGCCCCAGTGGGGCAGCACTCCAGAATTGATGAAGACTGGGAGGCCTCCTATAATCCTAGGGTGAAATCGGTGTGCTCAGCTCGCTCCCTGGAATGTCTGTACACCAACGCACGCAGCATGGGAAATAAGCAGGAGGAGTTGGAAACCTGTGTTAAGTCAGGAGACTGTGATCTGGTGGCAATTACAGAGACGTGGTGGGACAGCTCACATGACTGGAATATAGTCATGGAGGGCTATGTCCTTTTCAGGAAAGACAGGCCAGCCAGGAAGGGTGGTGGGGTGTCCTGGGTTCAGCAGTAGCAGTCATGTTTTTCCTTTGTGTTAGCTGGTGCAGTGCTGTGTTTTGACTTCCAGTTTGAGAACAGTGTTGGTGAAGCCGATGTTTTCGGTTGTTGCTATGTGATGTTTACCCTGACCAAGGACTCTGTGAGGCTCATGCTCTGCCAGGGAGGAGGGGAAGCTGTGAGGAAGCAGAGACAGGGCGCCTGACCCGGGCTAGCCGGGGAGGTATTCCATACCACAGCACGTCATGCCCGGGGTGAGGGGTAACTGGGAGTTACCCGGAAGGACAGGGGCTTCCGGGTGGAACTCGCCTTCTTGGCTGGTGGTATCGTATTCTCTTTCCTTGTTATTTTCCCTTATCATTGTTTTAGCTGATAGTAGCGGTGGTGATTTGTTGCTGGACTGTTCTTGTCTCAACCCGTAGGAGCTGCACTCTCTCGATCCTCCTCCCCGTTCCTCCAGGAGCGGGGAAGGGGAGAACCCCGGTGGGGGGGGGGGACACGGACCTCGATTGTTGTCAGCTCGGCACCACTCACTGGGAGTGAGTGAACAAGTTACCTGACTGGGTTTAAACCACGACATGGGGTTGCTCTTTGTGTGCAGGAGCAACTACAATGCACTGAGTCCTGTCCAGGGACAGATGACGAGCGAGTTGAGAGTCTGTGGGTGAGAATTAAAGGGCAGGCTGGCAAGGGTGATACTGTTGTAGGTGTCTGTTACAGACCACCAGATCAGGGTGAGGAAGTTGACGAGGCCTTCTACAGGCAGCTGGGAGCGGCCTCACAGTCACAGGCTGTGGTCGTCGTGGGGGATTTTAACTTCCCTGATGTTTGCTGGAAGGACCACTCAGCAACCCAGCCACAGTCCAGGAGGTTCCTCCAGTGTATGGATGATAACTTCCTCCTGCAAGTGGTGGATGAGCCGACCAGGAGAGGAGCGCTGCTGGATCTCATCCTCACTAACAAGGAGGGTCTGGTCGAAGCGGTCAGGGTTGAGGGCTGCCTTGGTTGCAGCGACCACGAGATGGTGGAGTTCAGGATCTTGTGTGGTAGGACTAGTAGAATACCAAGTAGAATTGCAGCCCTGGACTTTAGCAGGGCAAACTTTGGCCTTTTCAAGCAATTGCTAGGGGAAATCCCATGGGCAAGGCTGCTTGAAGGTAAAGGGGCCCAAGATAATTGGTTGACATTCAAGGGCTGCTTTTTCCATGCTCAAGATCAGAGCATCCCGACACGTAGGAAGTCAAGGAAGAGGGCCAAGAGACCTGTGTGGCTAAATAGGGAATTGCTGGGTATGCTCAAGTGGAAGAGGAGAGTTTACAGGTCATGGAAGGAGGGGCTGGCCACTTGGGAGGAATATAAGGCTGCTGCTAGAGGATGTAGGAAGACAGCTAGGAGGACTAAGGCCTCCTTAGAATTAAACCTGGCGAGAAGGGTCAAGGACAGCAAAAAGAGCTTTTTCAAATACATGGCAGACAAAACTAACACCAGAGGCAATGTAGGCCCACTGATGAATGGGATGGGTGCCCTGGTGACAGAAGATACAGAGATGGCAGAGTTACTGAATGCCTTCTTTGTCTCTGTCTACTCTGCTGCAGGCAGTCCTGAAGAGCCCTGTACCCCTGAGACCTTAGATGAAGTCAGGTCAACGGAGCAGTTTGCCTTAGTCGATGAGGAATGGGTTAGAGATCAGTTGAGCAATCTGGACATCCATAAATCCATGGGTCCAGATGGGATGCACCCGCGGGTGCTGAGGGAACTGGCGGAAGTCATTGCTAGACCACTCTCCATCATCTTTACCAAGTCTTGGGAAACGGGAGAGGTGCCTGAGGACTGGAGGAAAGCAAATGTCACCCCAGTCTTCAAAAAGGGCAAGAAGGAGGACCCGGGTAACTATAGACCGGTCAGCCTCACCTCCATCCCTGGGAAAGTGATGGAACACCTTATCCTTGGTGCCATCTTAAGGCATATCAAGGATAAGAGGGTTATGAGGGGCAGTCAACGTGGCTTCACCAGGGGGAAATCATGTTTGACCAATCTCTTAGCCTTTTATGAGGAAATAACACGGTGGATGGATGATGGCAGAGCGGTGGATGTGGTCTACCTTGACTTCAGCAAAGCATTTGACACAGTCTCCCACAGCATCCTCACAGCTAAATTGAGGAAGTGTGGACTGGATGATCAGGTAGTGAGGTGGACTGTGAACTGGCTGAAGGAGAGAAGCCAGAGAGTTGTAGTCTATGGGGCAGAGTCTAGTTGGAGGCCTGTAACTAGTGGAGTGCCTCAAGGGTCAGTACTGGGACCGGTATTATTTAATATATTCATCAACGATTTAGATGAGGGAATTGAGTGTACTATCAGCAAGTTTGCTGATGACACTAAGCTGGGAGGAGTGGCTGACACACCAGAAGGCTGTGCTGCCATCCAGCGAGACCTGGACAGGCTGGAGAGTTGGGCAGGGAATAACTGGATGAAATATAACAAGGGAAAGTGTAGAGTCCTGCATCTGGGCAGGAACAACCCCAGGTTCCAGTATAGGTTGGGAAACGACCTGTTAGAGAGCAGTGTAGGGGAGAGGGACCTGGGGGTCCTAGTGGACGACAGGATGACCATGAGCCAACACTGTGCCCTTGTGGCCAAGAAGGCCAATGGCATCCTGGGGTGTATTAGAAGGGGGGTGGTTAGTAGGTCGAGAGAGGTCCTCCTTCCCCTCTACTCTGCCCTGGTGAGACCCCATCTGGAATATTGTGTCCAGTTCTGGGCCCCTCAGTTCAAGAAGGACAGGGAGCTGCTGAAGAGAGTCCAGCGCAGGGCAACAAAGATGATTAGGGGAGTGGAGCATCTCCCTTATGAGGAAAGACTGAGGGAGCTGGGTCTCTATAGTTTGGAGAAGAGGAGACTGAGGGGTGACCTTATAAGTGTCTATAAATATATAAAGGGGGAGTGTCAGGAGGATGGAGCCAGGCTCTACTCAGTGGCAAACAATGATAGGACAAGGGGTAATGGGTCCAAACTGGAACACAAGAGGTTCCACTTAAACTTGAGAAGAAACTTCTTCTCAGTGAGGGTGACGGAACACTGGAACAGGCTGCCCAGGGAGGTTGTGGAGTCTCCTTCCCTGGAGACATTCAAAACCCGCCTGGACACATTCCTGTGTAACATTATCTAGGTGTTCCTGCTCTGGCAGGGGGATTGGACTAGATGATCTTTCGAGGTCCCTTCCAATCTCTAGCATACTGTGATACTGTGATACTGTGACCCCCTTCTGCCAACCTGGCTTATAAGAAGTGGAAATACACAACTCACTCTCCCATTTAATAGCAAACCAAGCAAGCAGACAAAAACACCAAAAAAACATCCCAAACCATGCTGCTGGGTCAGGTATGTGTCTTTGTGAGAAGAGGCTCTTGTGGACTCAAGTTATTTTTGCAAAGAAGCAAGAGTGTGTGTTTGCAGAGCCTCAAGCCTCAGGAAGTCGGTCCATCCTCTTGCCTAACCCCATTGGGTGGTGACGACCAGTGAAGGAGAGTGGGGGAGCCATCAAAATCCTACCCTGGGGCTTGTGGCTTGAGGCTGGCCAGGACAGGGATGAGAAAAAAAGATGGAACAAAAGGCTTCAGCAGTTGGGGCTGCAGCCAGGAACTGTCAGCTGTCTGGGCTTTTCAAGGTTGTAGAGCAGTTGCAATGCATTCCTGAGGATTTCAGCACTGGGTTGTGGGCAGGAGCCTCGTGCCTAAATATTCTCTGTGGCTTGGCTTTTTCTTGGCTTATAGAATTTAGCCAGATCCTTGGTTTGCTCTGGAGTAGCTTTACCTTTAATGTTGGCTTGGACAACACCAGTGGAGAAAACCAGATGTAACTTGTAAAAGCATAAAAAGTCCAGGAACTGTGCAAATATGTAATTTTCTTGAAAAACAAACAAAACCTGTTTTTCATAAAAATAATTTTAGAAAAGGTTATTTACAAAAAAAAAAAAGAAAAGAAAAGGTATTAATTTTCAAGTATGTAATTAGCATGTGATGGGCCAAATTTACCCCTGGGGTAATATCTTTTCAACTGGTTGTGCTTGTACCGTGGTTTAATTTAACCCAGAATGTATGGTAGCTGGATACATATGATAATCATGCTGCTTCCCAGAAAAAAAGATGTGGCAATCATATACACATATAATACTTCTCATTTCTAGCTTTATCTCCTGTATATTATGCTTATACATATTTCAAACAGTTAGTTAACAAAAATGCAGTTACGTTTTGTGTCTACTAATCATATTCGGGTTTAAGCTCTAAAAATTAAAGTGGAATTCTAGTCAATAAAACTTTACCACTTTGGATATAAGGACTGCCTGATCACTGAAGACAACATCTGGATCTAGCTCCTTGCTTATTAAAACACACACTACACACCGAATAGGCATTTTAAAATTAATTGAGCCATATGGATGCTCTTACCCATTCATCTGGGCCTAAATAACACATCAGCATTCCTTGCATCTCTGGTCTGTGGTAGATACTTCAAGGCTTGTCTTGAGTGTCACACCTAGTTCAGAAATTAGTTAGTCACTGCAGTTAATCCAGAATGATTTTGTTTGCTGCATTGCTCTTTGGCAAGCCCATCTCTTGCTTCTGATGTAACATTTCTCACATAAACAAAGTATAACTGAGTGATGTATGCCATTCCAAAGCTAGGGTTTAAAGGCTCATAAAGTGGAGCAGTAGAAAACTGAACCAGAAGGAAAATGGTTAATGCCTTCTGTTCACAGACAGCTCCTTACTTCTGTAACTGACTAACCAAAATTATGGTTGTTGCTTTACTTCAGTTGCTACCCAAACACAAAGTTAAAGGGAGCAAAGAAATTGCTTGACTGCAAAATTAACTCTGAAAAAGCTTCTGTAAAACAAGTACATATTATTATTTGTTAATACATAATTGCCAGCCCACAATACCACTACTCTTGTCACTGAATTAGTGTACCTTCTTGCATGACCTAGAAGCAGGGCAGAAGTGTTTTAAAAAGCTCTTTTAACAGATGTTTGTGACTTTGTGGTAGACTTTGTATCCTGGTGCCCAACATGAAGGACACACTTGTATATGTTCCTAGACAGTGACTGTAAAAGACAAAGTTTTTGAATGTCTGTAAGCAGGTTGAGGCAGATAGATTCATATTTAGGAGGCAAATGCAGAGATTTTTAGAACTACTGCTCAATTCCCCTGATATTTACTTCCACATAATTCAAGACAGTCTGCATTCACTATGTTAAAGTGTCCAGTGTGTCACATGGTAGGACTATTCCTGAGTTGTAGATGCTAATCAATGACGTATTATTAGTGCTAGCTTTTATTTTTAGGGATAACTGTCTATATTCCACTAGAGTTGAGTTCCCTAGGCATTATGACAGGAAAAATTGAATCACTTTCAAACAGACATTAATTGGGGGTGATATTAACCAGAGGTAAAGGTTCAAAGGTCAGAACAACAGCAACAGCAACAAGAAAGCTAGATTGTTTTGAGGAAAAGTCTTCATTAGACAGCAGAATAAATGTATGTAAGAAGTGGGGCTGGTGGGTCTAAGATTTTCCTAAGAGCTGGGATCACCATAGTGATCTCAGGTGATTGGCTTCACAAAGGACAAATCATGCCTGACCAATGTGATGACCTTCTACAACACTGTTAGGGCATTGGTGGATAAGGGAAAAGCAATCACTATTACACATCTGGACCTGTGCAAAGCATTTGACCTGCATGACATTCTTGTCTCTAAATTGGACAAACATGGATCTGGCAGATGGACAGCTTGGTGGATAGGGAATTGGCTGCATGAATGCACTCAGAGAGTTCTGATCAATAGCTTAATGTCCAAGTGGAGACCAGTGACAAGTGGTGTTCCTCAGGGGTCAGTGTTGGGACCACTGCTGCTTGAAATCTTTGTTGGTGACATGGACAGTGGTATTGAGCACCCTCAGCATGCTGGCAATGATACCAAACTGTGTGGTGCAGTAGGTATGCTGAAGGGAAGGGATGGGATCCAGAGATATCTGGACAGGCTGGAGAGGTGAGACTATGTGAACCTCATGAAAGTTCAACCAGGCCAAGTGCAAGGTCCTGCACATGGGTTGGGACAACCACAAGCACAAACACAGACTGTGGGAGACTGGCTTGAGAGCAGTCATGAGAGGGACCTGGGGGTGTTGGTCAATGAGAGACGGGGCTTCAATGTTGTACTTGAGTCCAGAACACCACCATGGGCTGGGCTGCATCCTCAGAGTGTGAGCAGCAGGTTGAGGGGTGGGGATTCTCCCCCTCTACCGCGCTCTGAAGTGGGAAATGTGTTTTCAGTGTCCATATCAGTCCATTCCTAAAACCAGGTCATCTGCCTGTTCTGACCTCCACTCAAGGAGTACAGCGTTCCATGCTCTAGAGGTATCTTAGAGTTAAGTGTTATGTTTGTACCTGCTTGTACAAATGCATTCAGTTGTGGAGATGGAACGTGCATCAAAAGAGTTCAGTACTATTAAAAAGTATTAAAAATCAGTCAACTTGCTGCATTAACAGGCACTACTGCAATTGCTTACATTTTCTTTCTCTTCAATTGCAAGACAAGCACAAGGTGCTAAGTGTCACAAGGATGTGGTTACAGAAGGTACACCATGAGTAACCTAGAGTAGGGATTTGTAGTGAGGGTGCAAGACCCTTTCAGCCCATGAAGAGAAAGTTGGTCTGTGTAGACTACATTATGGGGCAGCATTTTCAAAATTTTCTGGGGAATATAGCTACTGAAACCCATCTTTCAGAAGCATTTATTTTTCCTTTATATGGAAAAGAAAAATATGCAGCCAAGATGTGGCTGGCCTCTTTTCTCAGGTAGCAAGTGATAGGACAAGAGGAAACAGCTTCAAGCTGCACCAGGAAAAATTTAGACTGGAGATTAGAAACACCTTCTTCCCCAAAGGGTGATCAGGCATTGGAACAGGCTGATCAGGGCAGTGGTGGAGTTACCATCCCTGGATGTGTTCACAAACCATGTAGACAGGGCCCTTTGTGACATGGTTTAGTGGTGGCCTAGGAAGTGCTGGAGGAACAGTGCAACTTGATGATCTTAAAGGTCTTTTCCAGCCCAGCTGATTCTATGATTCTAAGAAGGGCTTTTAGTGATTTAGGTGCTTCTGGGAACCCTACTCTATCCTTGTGCGTTTCTGACAGCTCTTGAGGAAAGACAGTGCTACCAAATGTCCTGTAGCTCCATCTGAGTTTCTGAAATGTAACAGCATTTTTTTATGGTCACAGCAGGAGCTTCAGCCCAGCTGGGTAGAGCTTCTTCAAGCAACACAAATGTCTGAATGTTGGAAATACCTTCAAGTATTAAACCCTGTGCCTTTAAAGGGGGTGCGTTTGCCATTAAACAGACTTTCCAGCTAATGAATTCCTCAAGTTGTAAGAATAATGGCCTTTTTAATCATAGCAAGAGTAATTAAACCGACATTTGTTATTAATGATGTTGTTAATGGTGGTAGATACTGAATTTTCACTGTAGATATCATACAGTTGTACTGATTTTTTTGGAGGTTTTTGTTAACTTGATTGGGCAGTGAAGTTAAAAATGTATCATATATTTTTTTTCCTGCTTCTGGAGGTATTGATTTTCTGCCTGTTTTGAAGCAATGTCTTTGCCTTAATTTTGTTCTTATTGGAGATTCTTGCCTTCATCTCCTTTACTAGCCAATTGACAGCAAAAGGACCAGATCTTGCCTGCTTCCACTCAGACATTGCCTGGAATGATTTGTGCAGAGGGGATGTGGGTAGCAGTGACTGCTTCTGCCATCTCTTTTGAACACTTGCTGGGGGTTCCCATCTGTGTTTCACCCCAGGGAAATATGAGTTTGTTACATATACAGCTAAAAAACTTAAGTTTCTAGCTCAGATTAAAGAAAATAGTGGGTTTTTTTAAGTCTTTTTTCATCTTAAATCCAGAGTCAGCCAAGGCAGCAGGAAGAATACCTTCTCTCTTTTTCTTCTCTACAATATTATGTTCTTTTACTAGTATTCCTGGTGATCTGCAGGGTATGGAGAGGGATATTATGCCTAAGTCTGAAATTTGATCTCATATGTTAGGCCATTAATGAGGCCTTTGCTTTTATTCAATGCTCTGAATTGGGGACAGTGTAAGTTTGTGCTCTCCTTGTGTGAATACAAACCCTCTCAGGACAGAATGCATCCTCCATCTAACAGCTGCTCAACCTTTGCTCAATAGTGTGGGGCAGTTCATAGCTGTGGAGACATCCCTGTGGAGAAGGTGCCTTCTTTTCTTACACATGCATTTTCAGCATTATAGTTTTAGATAACCCTGCATTAGACTTCTTTATGTGGCTTTCTTTTGTTTTATATCAAGCTCTTACCAGTAGTTACTGAAATCACAACATCTCATGTTCTTTCTTGCTATCTCTTACTAGGAGCAAGGCTGAATAGAAAGTATGTTTATTACCATGCAGGATTCTGAGCCCTTCCTGATGGGAAGACAGATTAATAAGAGTAATTTTTCCATGAAAAGGAAGACTTTCCTGACCAGGCTTAGAAACAGCTTTTGCAGTGACATGGGATCCTGCTTGACTCCCTGTGCCTTTCACATCTTAATTTCTCCTGAGAAAAATGCTCCATCAAAAGCTTTAAAAAAATCCTCTGAACTCTACAGACCAGGATTTCTCTGCTTTTGGATTCTGTCTGTCAGTGGATTCTTTCTAAGCTCTCATATTTCTGTCAATTACAGTTTACACCTTTTAAAAGCGCTCCTTCTGGTTTGACTTGCTGTCCCTCAGGGCTTGGTCTTGGCTCTGAGGCTGTTTCAATCACATCCTTAACCTCATTTTGCTGCCTTTTCCAACTATTACTTTGCACTAAAAAGAATGGGGAGAAACCCCAAACAAAATAAAAAGCCCTGGCATGAGTTGCTGATTTCCCTTCCTCTGTCAAAATTACACTAGTAGCTCTGAGTAATTTGGTCTCATTTTCTCAAGGGAGTAAGACTGAAATAATGCAATGTTTATTTTTATACAGATTCTCACAGTGCTACAATGTTTTTGAGACTTCCTGGGATGTTTCTAGTTTTTCACAGGCTAAAAGGCCATTCTCAGAGGTAGCTCCTTCATGTAAACCTAAAAATGGCATTTTCCCACAATACAGCTTATCAGGAAGTTTAAAGTTCAATAGTCTCACTCTCTCTCCCTCTCTCACATACATGAAAGTAATAAATAAAAAAAAATGAAGAGGCTATTCCAGTTCTGCTGAGAGTTGTCTTTCAATCATTTCATTTTGGTGTGCTGACTGATTGTAATGCTATGATGGGACCTGTGATGATCTAAGGACAGAAGCAAGGCAAAATCTTTAGGGAAAGAGAGCACCTTATATTCAATAAATTTTGATTTATTCCTACAGTAGCCAGTAGAGGATGAGAGATGCTCTCAGGATTCCTCATGTTTTGGATTTATAGACATAGCCCCATTATGGGTATAGGCACAGAATTAACTTCTCTACCAAGACACTAAAA